ATGCTCACTTAGAACGTCCATTGGTGGCGCAGGCGGAGATCGAGCCTACTACCTCAGGGATGAGAAACCACGCTGAAACCTAGGCCAGTTTATTCAGTGAATGGTTTCATTATTAATTATAGATAAATATCGTATGAGCAGTGTTGGCCTAGTGGCTTCGACGTGCGGCTCTCATCTCTGACGTTGTAGGTTCGATCCCCGGCTGTGCACCAATGGACTTTCTGTCTATGTGCGCTTAACATTCGCTCGAACGCTACTTGCCTATTAGATTGACAAACGATCATAAAACAGATACAAAAATCTGAGGCCCAGACCTAAAAAGGTTGAGCGCCACTGATTTATTTTTTAAATATTTTCGTACACATTTTAGGTTATGTAGTCAATTCTCAAAAAATTTGTCTCGAACAAATTCAGCGTTTAAATCTAAGAGCATCATAATATTTGGCACATCAAAGACGTTAATTATGTAGTTCCCCGATCCATAATTGAATTAAAGTTCTTAACGATTCCAATAATAACTAACGTCAATTATTTTCTTTTCTCCCGCAAGTTAATAGCGCAATAAATAGTGAATGTCCCACTTTGATGTTAAATGTTTAGCGCGTTGTCGATCTAACGATGTTTGGGGTTACACCATTCTTGATTGATGTATTGTGTGATTTAGATGCACTTCTGGTTAATTATTAACCGTTTTTAGAATTAGGTGAAGAGCTTTGAGAATACGACTGTTGATTGATTGGGAAATTAAAGTTTTCAGTGAGTTTAGTAAACCAGTAAATCTTAATTTAAATTCATTGATTACATTTACCTTTGACTAGCTTTTGTTCCTACATAAGAGTTGAGTGCCTACATACAATATCTATATATATATAAATGAATTTCTATTTACCTTGGTCAAGGCATCACGCGTGAAAGGCTGGACCGATTTTGCTTATTATTTTTTTGTTGTGTTTGTTATTGTCAGAAAAAGGTTCTTATGAAAGAAAAAAATTAAGAAGATTGCGCCGACAATTTAAGAATACTTAACCACCATACAATCCAAACGTTTTTGATGTTACCTGACGCCCTGGATGGTTTAAATTCACAAATCAGCCTAGCAGATGGCGCTGCAATCGGTACTATCATACTTTGTTTAATATACTAATCGCTTGAAAGTTGAAACATCATGCAGGACAACGTCTGTCGGGTCCGCTAGTTTGCTATAAAATAAAATAAATTCTATTTTTGTAATTTGTCTATAGCATAATTGTATGTAAACATGATATAGTTTAAATTATGACTTGCATTTTTGCTGTATGTCCTATTCTCGGAAGTCATTCCTGTGACGTCACTGGGCCACAATGTTTATACAGGCGTGCATTTCCTGCGTGTTCGCGAACCCAGCTGGTGCCTATCCTAATCCTAAGCTAATTTATTTTTCCGCCCGACCGCTACTTTATTGACAATAGTAAACGTTAAAACGCTGTTAATTTGCTCTCGAATAAAAGTTTAATGTGTTATTTTTGTTTCTAGAGAGCGTCGTAAAGCATTTGTCTTTATAGCGCTGAAGTTTCCTGTCTTATTGTTGATTAAAGCGTAGTGAATTGAATTGGTATTATTGTTATTTATTTATGTTGCCACCAGCAAAAATATAAATCTAAGTGTGTAACAAAAAATTCAAGATCGGCCAACCCTGTTAAAATATAATATAAATGCGTACGTATGTGTGTGTGTGCGGTACTTCTCAGTATGAATCGAGAATAGTTATTTTATAAATAATAATAATAAATAAAGAGTACTATGTCTGGTTCTACGTCTAGCTACGGAAAATTTGTGAAAATAATCTTGGAAACGTCGGCGTATGATTGATCTAGATTCTAGAATCTAGATGGTTCCGAACTTTATTTAGAGGAAAAATAAAGTTTGGTATTTTTTCGGTTAGGGAAATATTTGAAAGTGGCTCGCCTTCATGCTTAGTTTCACCAACTCACGTGACGCTTAACCTAATGAACACTGTTTCAGTCCAATTGCACAGTCACAACTAAAATACTCTTTCATCTCTTTCTGTGAAATAGTGTTAACGCTGTGATTAAAAAAGGACGGATGATTTTAATTAAAACGGTGCAATTGACTGTAATAGATTTTATAAGGGTGTATATATTAATATAAGTAATACAAAGTAACATCAACAATGTGAAGAACGTCTCATATTTCGCGAAATGTAATTAATATCTAGTCTTAGGCGACGTGTGACTCCAGAGTAAGCAGATTCAGCTGTTATTTTGCATTAGGTAGGGTTCACGGTACTAGCGAAGCGGGAATGTTAACAAATATGTGTAAAATAAATTGCTTAATAAAGACATCCACGAAAGAATTTTAAACTTTTAATACCTTACACAGGGTAAAATCCTTAGCGAGAATGCCTGAAGCTCATTTTTCATGTATCCCAACATCGTTAGAATAAATAAACAAATGACTATGACATGCGCGAACTTTTTCCCACTAGTAAATTCGTAATTTAAATTTATTTCGTAACAACTACTTGAAGCTTAGAAGAACAGTGTTGGCCTGAGCATGAGCCTCTCCATCCTAAGGTCGTTCAGGTGTGCTGTGCTCAAAATTTTATATAATTAAATTGCTAAAATTGTCTGTGCAAATAACACTGGCTAGCGAAAAAAATGTGAGGAAATCAGCACGCTTGTGATACAAAAATCGACGGCATGTGTCAGATACAGAAATCATTTACAGAAGCCTAGACCGCTAGAGGTTGTAGGTTTTATTCGCTCCTCTTGTGCGCGTGTTTAACTTCTTACGTCACACGGTTAGTATAATTTCTCACGTAACATATTTTTATGTATGATCATTAACATCGCAGTTCTTGGTAATTAGATAACATTTAACCATCTTCACATAACAATATGTATGTACAGAACTAGCTTCTACAGTATTTGTACGCAACAAATAAAATCTATGCATTAATTCCTACTATCAATTTGCCATCTACTATATGCAAATTGTGTTTTGTTTTATGTTCATAATTTTAATAATGGTATAACTATATATAAAACAACAATTAGTAAGAAACTAACTTACATAATGCATAAAGTTATACATAAGTATTCAAATAGTTACCGAAAATTTTGTCCTTATCAAACGCGTGTTATTTTGCAAAAAAGAAGCGAGATAAAATATTATTTTTCTAATATAAACATTTATGAATACATTCAAGAAACCAAAAAGGTAGCTGATTTATATCGTGTAAAAAAATAAACAAAAGAACCGCCAAGGTCTTGTAATAAAACATGATTTTAAATTAATTTAAAATATTTACAAACGTATGAATGAGAGCTAATTATATTTAGATCACGTTAAATAAGAGTAAAAAGCATGCATATTTGCTACCGAGCCAAAAATGTTAATTGTCGTCGCTCTAAAGGGCTTGCTTGCAATACGTCGCATTTATCGCCTGCTTATTGCCAATTACACCTATTTGAAATACCTTTGATCATTCCATTTGTGTAAGAGTATACATGAAGCTCTATAGATAGAGACGATTTTATTACTTATACTTTTTGATACACAGATAGATACAGTAAAGAATATACTTTTGAAATTAGCACATTCAAACTATCATAATTAATATCATGTTAGTGTAGTGTGTAGTGTGTCACCTTTACACGCCCATTTGGTCCGTTGTGCGTTGAGTCCTGGTTAATTAAGCCAGCCTAGGTCCTTCCTCAGAAGTTTCCTGGGCACTTCGCAAGCTTCACGGAGCTCCCTTACTGCTTCGACATTTCTGTTTGTTGAAACTACAGCTTTGCATTCCAGGAATACGTGGGTTACTAATTCCTCTGCGCTAAAGCAGCATCTGTAATTTAATGTTTATTTTCTTTATTAGATCTATATACTTAGTTATTAATTAGCACAATTAATCCACATATCGTCGATATTGAAAAATCCATCTTAACTCTTGGAAATATACATATATTTTGTCATAACATAAACGAAATACAAAATTAGCTTCTACATTTAGGAATATAATTTGTCGTATATCACATCTTTAATGAGAGAAGCAATAATCTACCTATAACGTGCTTAAATTATAAGCGGAGAGCAATATAGCCGCTGATTTAGTGGCATTAAGAGGAAACATTAGCAATGAACAATTTATATATCATACGCCAAATGCTAAGCGTCAAAATTGTTGAATTCTAGTGAATTTATTATTTTTAGCAACTGGCTCTCGAGTTGGGTTTGAAGTGACAGATCAAAAGCGCATCTCCGGGTTTCAATTTACAGATTGCATATTGATAATTTACGGTTCATTATAAATTAATAAAATTAGACTATTTCTTACCTGATGTTATTAAAGTACACCACATGTGTACAATACATTTTCTACAGTATAAGTTATCATCTACTACGTAGGTACATGTTAATTACGGTGAACATGAGACAAATACAAAGATTAATAAAAATATAATTATTTTTAAGGGTAAATTAAAGCTGAAATGAAAGGGAATCAATCAAAATATACCTAATTTATTTTATATTTAAAATAATAAATGTCTCCAATATAATAGTCTTTCCTCTAACTTCATTTTGTTCCCTTTGGAGTAGAGACTCTTAGGTCATGGGGTTCAAGTGCACAGGCTAATTAAAGATTTAAGTTGGCGCCTGGTAGATGGTAGGTGACCGCAGAGCTGGTGCTTTCTTCGATCAACGATTAAGTATCCCCATACAGCGGGGAAATGTTGCCAGCGTTAAAGGTACACTGTCATAGGAACCAAACTTTAAAATTAAATTTGTTTTAATTTTCTATTTAATTTTTTAAAATTATTATTATTATTTTAAGAAAATTGTAAATACGGTATATTTGTGTTTTCGTCCAATACATTCATTTTGATATTTATTTTATTCTTCTCATAGTGGGATCAGAAAGAATATTAACTTGTTCATCATAGAGAAAAAATAATATCTACTTCCCCATTACTTGCAATTGATTTTTATATTTTTTCTAGATTCAAAGCTAATAAAACGCAAGAAGTCAACAGATGACGTCCGATCACCCCTTGGTGGCGAAGGGTCCATGACCAGTGAAGAAGGAGAGGATGCAGGTGTTGGTAGACGCAAGAAGGCAAGAACCACTTTCACTGGACGACAGATCTTCGAGCTGGAAAAGTTATTCGAGGTCAAGAAATATTTGTCATCAGGCGAGAGAGCAGATATGGCGAAACTTCTTAATGTGACTGAGACACAGGTGAGAATATTTATAATTTATCGATATTTATATAATTTTTATGGGTAAACGAGGCACTTTGAATAAAGTGACGCCTGCAACATCGGCGGCTAGCGGGTGTTGCCGACTTTTCAGGGAATGAATCTTTTCTTGATTTTTGCTCCTGTTCTGTTAATAATAATAATTTATTTATTGCAAGAATATGTTACAAAAATGTGTAAGGTGGTACAATCGTAAGTTCGCATATACTACCACACACAATGGCACGCAAATTTGTCTTAAGGAATTTTATATTGTTAGTCAAAGTCAATTCTTATATTATTTGTATCGTACATATCATATCATACTTTATTAAATTTATGTCAACTACAGTGTCTCACGCAAATAATCATTTATTGAAAAATACATTCTTTCCAAAAGTAATACACAAGATCGCTTTTTAAAGTCTCTAGTCGGAAGATCTTTTAATCTTAATATATATAAATCTCGTGTCACAATGTTTGTCCTCAATGGACTCCTAAACTACCGAACCGATATCAATCAAATTTGCACACCATGTGCAGTTCGATCCAACTTGAGAGATAGGATAGTTTAAATCACAAATTATAGTCGCAATTTTAATTTATTGCAAAATATTTGTTTATTATTTGATACAATTCTAACAGATGGCGCTGTGTTAAAATTATCAACGTTTCACATAAGCTGTCATCTACCTTTCACATAAGTTCTCCTACCGTTTCCCTTGAATAGTTTACTACTATGTAATATAACAAAAATCTTAGCCAGAGCAACGCTTGGCCGAGTCTACTAGTATATTTATAAATTGTTCCGAAGTATATTTAAAGAACTTTAGTATTCATGCCGGTAAACAATATATGAAAAAGGTGTAACAATTAATACGCCGTTAACAGATAAAAGGACAAAACACGATAATTCTTTTTAGGCATCTAACCCGAAACAATAATTGTTTAGCCGGTAATCAAAACTTGGACTGAATATCACGAAGTCAGTAATCGTATAAAATATATAACGCCAATTGAATTCAAGATTCCAAAGAAATTTGTCCCTTAGCACCTCATTCCCGAAGTGTGTCATTCGTGCAGACAATTAAATAATGAATTATAAATATAATCGTGGTGATAATGAGCATATCTATCAGTGAGCGTAAACACACGGACTAATTACTTAATGGCTCGTCACCTCGTTCGGCCTTTCTCGGAAATCTAACCAAATTAAACGCTTGTGAAGCATGCGCAGCTTAAGCGATGGCATATAGCGTTTCTAAGCTATCTAAAGTAATTTTAAATATCGAATAAAATACATTACAACAGTTTAATGCCAGTTATTTTTTTACGTTCTCATATTGAGACTGGCAGTAAATGTATGTTTAGAAACATATTTTTTTATAAGTGTACCAACAGTGGTGTAGTGTTTTGTATGGGGTAGGTTACCTACTTACCAACATAAATGATGATTGATTTGACACCAAAACCTGAAAATACCATTTGGGTATGTTTTAGGACCGATATTTTACCTATTAATTAAAAAATCCGATTTTTGTGCAGCGAGAACAGTGTTGGCCTAGTGGCTTCAGCGTGCGACTCTCATCCTATTTTTTCTCTTACCTTTTAACCGTCTTTCTGTCTTCGTCTAAGACTTGCTCGTTTCCTTACCGTACGAGATTCGTCTACGACTCAAACTTCGACTTAAAGACCAACGGTAATTGAACAAACAAATAAATTAGATAAGTGCCTCAGTATTAAGAACCCTTAAAAGTTTTCCATAAGTAATTATATCGATGAGTAGTGTTGGCCTAGTGGCTTCAGCGTGCGACTCTCTTACCTGAGGTCGTAGGTTCGATCCCCGTCTATGCACCTTTCCTGGACTTTCTTTCTATGTGCGCATTTAATATTCGCTCGAACGGTGAAGGAAAACATCGTGAGGAAACGGACACTGGTGTCTGGAGCCTGTTCACCTACTTGCCTATTAGATTGAAAAATGATCATGAAACAGATTCAGAAATCTGAGGCCCAGACCTAAAGAGGTTGTAGCGCCACTGATTTATTTATTTTTTATTTTACCTAATAATATACTCCACACACAAATTAAAAAATTCTAATTACCATTTAATTTTAATAATGTAAATATTTTTACGCTACCGCCTGTTACTTACCTATCGTGGAGCTCTCAAAAGATAATTATACAATCACCAAGGTGGCAGTCCCCCGCGACGAGGCACATCTGGAGTCACTAATTAAAGACACCAGCACACGAGACAATCTCACAGTTAAGCGGTTTACCCTGGATTTGATATTTTATTATTTAAGTGTTTTGTCTAGAAGCCCTTCGACTTCTAGTAGTTGCACTCGCGATGATTTAATCAACTATCCACTGTTTATAAAGAAACACAAAAAAGTCATAAAAACTCTTTGTTTTGTCTGCTTAATAAATTAATGAAAAGAAAATTGAAACAGAATTTTAGAATTTTTTGTCTTAATTATCTTACTTATAATAACAAAGGGATCATCCCTTAAAAGTCTATCAATAAAATGAGTCGCTACTTTCTCGTTGACCCCAATGAGAACTCATAATTATTGTCTAAAGGGCGTTATAATAAATAATAATATTATAGATTAACGACAGTAAATTGTTGAAAAATGTATGAAACTTGTAAAATAATAATACTTGACAAGTGTAATAAACGAATTGATGTCAAACAACTAATAAACTAAATTATTCTGTTTGATAGCAAAGACGTATCCGTGAAGAAAGTATATCACTTGTGTGAGAAGTAACAAGAAACAAAGTCATCATTTTGTTTCCACTTGATGCGTTGCTAGGCAACCATTACAATCTTAACAAACATCACTCTTAGAAAAGAAGACAAATAAAACTTGGTGTCGCTGTCATTATTTTTATAATCATATTTTTGGCTTTTCTTTCTCTGTTTTGGTAAGTTTATAAATTAGTGTCTTTATTAATATTAAGAATTATTTTTCTTTATATTATCATTAATATTATTTTTTTGAATTATAAATTAAGTTTCGCACTCTTGTGTATTCACAATTATTTTTTTTAATTTTCTTTATTTAGGGTTGCCTGAAACAGATCGCTTTGTAGCGATAAGTTGCACTATAGTTCATTGTTTATTTAGTTGGGTGCAAAAAGTGTGAATAAAAAAACTATAAAATATTGGGTGTGTCCGAAAACATTTTCACAGAAAAATAATTATATAAAAATCAGCAAAACGGTAAGAGAAGTACATACACACACTCACTCCGCTCTGCGACCCAAAAAGAGTCTTAGACTCCAAAATGAGAATCTTCCAGAGTTCCCTGTTCTGTGCCACCTCCCGCCAATTGCTGGCTTTCAGCTGCAGCAGGACCTCCACTCTGTTAATCCAGAGGTATCTAGGCAACAATATTCTGGAGATCACAAATATGAAGTATTATTTTCAATTTATGAAATTAAAAATCTGTTTGATATTTCTCGAATTCATTCATTATTGTATTACGCTTTTCGTTTAATTTCATACACACATACACACACGACTCCGTCCATAATAATTGTAATTATAAACGCGTTTTATTATATATTTTTAACGTCCGATAACGAAACTAAATTATAACTATCAGTTTATAATGGTAAGATAAACATTTCTATAGCTCCCCATTGCGACGATAAGGGTCACGTGTTTGCGTCCCAATTTGGGAGTCAATTAACACCGGACGGGAGACAAAAACCCAAACGAAGCTATAGGGAATCGATTTTAAGCATATTGGATAGCACAATCTTATTCATTTGCATGATAGGGGATTGTCCATGCAGAATTTAGTGCTTAACATTGCGAAATACGTTAAAGGTACACTGTCACAGGGACCAAACTTTTTAAATTTGTTTTAATTTTTAATTATTATTATTATGTTAATTAGGTTGTAAGGACAATTAACGGCCATATTTTGCTAAGCGGGTATTATATAAGAGTGTAAATTATTTTTGTCTACTTAATAAATAAATGAATAGAAAAATGAAACAGAATTTTACAGGGGAAGAAATTTGCGTATATAACCCATATTTTCGTCTTACTTGTAATAACAAAGGGGCGATTTAAAAGTCTATCAATTAAGTCGCTATTTCTCGGTGACCCCAGTGAGGGGATCCTATAATTGTTGCCTATAGGAAAAAGTAATACTCTATATTGCTGATATATATAAAACAATAATATTCGACAATTGTAATGATTTTAAATGGAGTATCTGTAATCAAAGTATATTACTAATGTAAAGTAACAAGAAACAAAGTCATCATTTTGTGTCCACTTGATGCGTTGCTAGGCAACCATTACTACCATAACATAACATAATGAGTATAAATTATCGTGGGAAAGTTCTTATTCGCAGAACATGTACTTATTTTTCCATTTGTCAGAATTATTTATCTGATAAACATAAATTTGATTATTCATACAACCAATACCAAACCAATAGCCACCGCTAGTTTTGCTACCCAAAAAGTGTCTTGATCTCCGAAATGAGATTCCAGCCAATTGCTGGATTTCAGCTGCTGCAGGTATTCCTCCACTCTGTCCCTCCAGCGGTACCTACCTAGGCGAGTACAAGGCCCATCGTGAAGGAGGATTACCTTACCCGGCCTTGTTTGCTGAGGTCGGAGACCAGTAGGTCGACCTAGGTACCGCTGGATCAATATTTCTGACAACCACAATGCAATGTTTATAAAATAAATACTACAATATAAAAATCACTATCAAGTTATTACTTGAATTAATCATATTATTTATCGATTTTTGCCGTTTGCCTTCTGGCTTCATAATTCAAGCAGCGACCCGACATTCCAAAGTCCAAATACGCTCCTAAAACGGACATAAACTCAGCTTAGATAAAGTGAGGTAGCCAGTTAATGGGATCATAAATTGACCCTAAATAAATCAATCAGTCGGGCTCATCAAATTTGAATTGAGTCGATGAGGTATTTAAATGAATGACGGGCTATTTAGACGCTGTTAGTTTGGGCCCGACCGATGTTGGGGCCCCAATCATTAACAGTAAGGTAAGATAGTAAATAAGTGTTCGGGAAACGTGTACTAAAACAGTGAAAATTACCTTTACAATATCCAAATATGTTCATTATTTTTGTTAAAAGTACAGACGACAGAAGAGCAGTAGAGGGATTTTGACGTAACGAGAATAAAATCTATCTATTAATAGCTATCACTCTAATAGTAAGTCTAAACATTTTTTTACTTCAATAAGCGTACTTTTAAATTTTGTTTTTTCTTACCACTTATACTCTACGTGTTCGAATCCTTCCCTGTGTTGGCTATTAAATTTTGATGGATTGTTAGCGGGGCGGCCGGCGACAGCGGCGCATCAAACGAGCGCCGACTCATTAGGTAAAGAAAACACGCTCTAATGTTAATAGTTTTTATTGTTTTTGCTCATTTACATAGTCATACGTCGTCTAGTTTTATAGTTCCAGAAATCGAGAGTGAATAATAATATAGCAATCTGTATAATAGACTTGATAACGGAATTATCTGCGGTATTATGTTTCGAGTTTAGCTAACAATACAATTTATGAAGATACATTTTCCACCTTACCAAAGAGGGTGAGAGGAAATATTTTACGAAGTTTATACAATGTAGTTTTTTGTTTAAAATAAGTTGTCATTTGTTTAATACTTAGTTAAAGTTTTTTTTTTATCCATTAATGTACTTAATTGACTTTTCTGTTTCGTATATTTTGTTTATCAATGTAATCTGTTTTGGCTTTGTAAATTGTCTAAGTGTTTTCTTTTATAATATGGATATGTGTAGCTATAAGATTACTTATAGATAAATAGTTGTATACATCGTATCTATTAATTATTTTTAATACCTAATGAGCTAAAAATAATAGTTATTTCGATCTGAATCGAACCTTATAAGTCCAAGTGTATTAAACAATTCCTGTGGAAAGAAATGAATAAAATACGCCATAGTTTATCCTCTAATGTTGCATTTAATAAGGGAATAATTTTTAGATAAGAAATTACTAATTAAAACTTAAATATAGAGCTGCTCAATAAGAGCCGCAGTCGAGACTCGAGAACAAATCTAAAGACAAGAAAATATTCCGGATGAAAACGTTTAAAGCGAAGTAAAATAAACGCAGAACAGCCCTTAATATTCGCCTATTAACTAAACATAATTAATTTAAATCATCCCGTGCTCTGAAAGGTAGGGAGGTATAATAGGGTTGTCACAATTTCTTTTTATAATCAGAGATGACACATGATTTTTTACATGACTTACTATTTTATATACTACTACTTCCATAGTACGGTTAAATTTGGTTCATACAATAAATAAAAATTCTGAGTATGATGAAATGGTGGGAAGCAAAGCGGCGTTCTTTTCATTATTTTTTTACCAATTTGGGGTTTTTATGTTGCAGAAGTTTGTATAATTTCAATGCAACTTACGAACATTAAGATACACAATGAAGCTATGCTATTGAAATTATAAAATATATCGAAATTATCTATGCGCGAGTAAAAATAAAAGCCTTTTTAATTCCTATTTTTTTAAATATATAATAAAATTGAACTTATTAAAATAAATTTATTCAACCCTAGCAGAGGGGGGGTAGTGGGTGCGTGGCGGGCGACGGGGGGTTAACAAAAAGCAACGTTTTAATTTTAGGAAGCCATCCGCAATGGGTAGCTGTGCTTGGATTCCACTTTTGATTTACTCCCTATTATTTTGAATAGAGACACCATTATTTCTTTAGTTCAGGGGACACAATAATGCAATAATTACTAAATTGCTGACATGTTAACGAGGTTGGTGAATTTAAAGTATTTACTTAATATATAAACTAAATAATTAGTAATAAATGATTTTGTATGAAATTATTCAACAACAAAAGTCTTTACCACATGTCAACTGCCGTCTTTTTGTATGCAAGTTAAGGTTATAGGTTAGGTTAGGTTTTGTTAGAAACTATAAAAAAAACACCCTAGCATCCACGAGAGTGTCGTTGGCGTAACGGATAGTTGTCACTACCGCGAGTAGCTCCAAACTGAGGGCCTCTATCAACAAGAGAAAAAGGTTTTGTTAGAGGCTGAAAGGCTCGTATAGTATAGACTATAGAGCATATAAGACAACAAGGGCTCTAAACGGACAACCGTAACCCCTAAACCTTGAAAACTATATACCTAAACTGTTGCGTTCACAATTACAGAAAAACTGTTTTTTCCGCGCAATTTTTACATTCATAAAAACAGAGTTCAGGGAATAAATAATAAAAAACCTTGAATCGACCCAGCCGTCTTCGAGTTATGCTTAACAAAATATTATGCGATTCATTTTTATTTATATATAATACTAGCTGGCCTGGCGAACATTGTATCGCCTAACAGTCGATTCCTTATTTTTTTTAAATACTTATTCTGCTATTCGGGATACCGGTCTAGCTAAGATAAAAAAAAGAAAGTTGATAAGACAACAAATACATTATGTCAAAAAAATAAAAATTTACCTTCCCGGAACCCCTCCACTGACACTTGAACTTTATGATATGGTATTATAGTCCAAATTGACTTTTAAGTATTATCACGAATATTATGTATGGGAATATAGAAAAGTGTTGTTTTTAGACTTTTTCACTCATTTTTTTTAATTTTCTCTTCGTAAGAACCATCCTCGTACTTCAAAGAATATTATAAAAAAAGAATTGGCCAAATCGGTCAAGCCGTTTTCATGTTATGTCGTGACAACGGAAAACGGGTTTCATTTTTATATATATAAGATATGTTCACCATTCGCATTTAACTTTCATCTATGGTTAAACAAAGTCCCAAAAGTCATCAAAGCATGGTAACCACATTCCCCACGCGGTGTTATTCTAGACGAAATTAAGTCTCTTTTTTGTCTCCGAATGTTGTTTGACGGATTAAGAAATATGTCCGTTTATGAGTGTCGTAACTCAGAGGTATCTTTTATAGTTAATCCAGAGGAGTAACGATGACAATTTAAATAGGTTTTATTAACGGCGCGGGTAGATTATAAAACGGATGGTTGGTATTTGTAATAACTTCCTTTGAACTTTTAGATTTATTTGAGTGCTCCCAGTGGGGAAGGTATTTTTGATATCTATGTGTATTTAGCCCGTGCTGAGACATAGTTTTTGTCAATCACAAAATTCAATTAGTTCATTCATTAAAAATGTTCATGTCAATGTTTTTTTCCTAAGGTAGTTAAAAGGCATGGAAATTATGTACATATTAGAATTTGAATTTCCAATGTTTTGACAGACTACAACTATTAAATATCTCAGTCTAATTTCATATCACATTTGACATTTGTCATAGGCAGGCGTGGAAATTATATACATCTTTGAATTTCGAACTTTTCTGACACAGACTACAATTAAAATTTAATAAATAGACTGGGGCCAATGTAATAGAACACATTTGATCCAGTTTTAACAGCGAGGTGCGTAAAACTTCGATTAAAGTCAAATAATCGATACGGACTTCAAATCAAATGCAGCTATTAAGTACTTACTTTTTTATAAAATAGCTAAGAGAAAGCGGTAACACCAAAGATTATAGATGTGTTCGTTACCATGGTAACAACATACCAAATGTTTTTGGTTTTATAATATGGCCGTAGTTTTATAAACGAAATTGAAATCATTATTGCGCAGCACGTCAATGTAACTCAAACATTATTCCAATTTAACCATTGCTTTTATTAATGGCATGAATCACTACACACGGTCATCTGCGGTGTAAAATTTTGGCACGAGTTTTAAACTAATGTTACACACGTATGGAAATGTCTATAAAAATATTTGAAGAACTTTCCAAATTTGAATTAAACATAAAATTATTTCTTAACGTTTGTATGAAAGTATATTCACTTGTAGGAATATATAATTATTATCTTATTTTATTAATAGGTGCTGGGCTATGACAAGATCGATTTCAGATTATTTATAGACTATAGAACGTATAGAATTGTTGTCATTGTTAAGTATGGCTTTGGCTTGAAAATTCATATATTTTTCATAATTCAATTATTCAAGATGGCGTCGGCCAATGATATATACATAAGTTGTTTATTATCATTCAATTATGGGAGTGTCAGTCAGAGTGAATACACATATAATATCTCGGTGAAAACTAGTCTCTGACGTAATAAAACTCCAAGGTAGTATGTACGTCATGGTCCAATCGACTAATTTGTGACCGTTGTATTTTGTAACTACGTGTGAAAATCTAATGTATTTAAAAAATATTTTTAGTATGGGGTTTTGTAAATTAATTATTATTTACAAATGATTGCTGTGCAACGCTTTTTAAAGCCATGCTTTACAGGGATTACTCTCAATAACACTATTTTTGTACTGTCAAATACCCTCTTTATTCAAAAAAACGTTGTAACCATGGTAACAAACACAGTACCTACTATATTTAGTGCATTAATAATGAAGGCATCCTTGAAGTAAAATTATTAATGGAAGTTTAACGATTTTTGGCTGTAACCTTGCATCAGTTTTGACCTGGCTTCGGTGTGCGACTCTCACCCCTGAGGTGAACCAAGGCTGTTAACAACTTTCTATCTATCCATTTACAACTCGAAAGGTGAAGGAAATCATTGCGAGGTAACCAACT